TTTGGGATGGGAACTGAGAAAACTCCAATTGAAATGTTATAGAAAAATTGGAGAGAAAAAAGATCTACTGACCCAACCTGGGACAAGCACAGCCCTTTGCAGCAGGCAGGGCTGGTAAGCCCTGCAAAAAGTGATTTGTTAAGGTTTGAGTGTGTTTCTGTGATGCAGATACTGGAAGGAATTTTTATGGGATCTGGCCCTGGAATTGAAAGGATTAAATAGCAAAGGAAAAACCAATGTGCTATTTGTAACTGATAGCACACAGAAATGATAGTTCTGGTAGGAACCGGAATCTGAGTCCCAGTTGCTGTAGCCAGCCATTTCTAACCATCTGAGAACAGCAACAGCATGAGAAATAAGCTGGAGCAGTCCTGCATTTCTTCATGGCTTCAGGAAGGATGTGCCATGGTGGGAAAAGGGGACACAGCCCCCTGAGTTGATGTTTTTGTTTTTGAAGCCATCAGTCCATGTGTCAGAGTTAATCCATGTGTGTTGAATTGGAGGTGCTGAAGGGAAGGTCCAGAGTGCAGTGTCAAACCCAGCTGGAAAGTGCCCGAGACAGGAAACAAATCACCAAAAGCTCCGTGCAGCACTGCAGCCCACGCTACTGCCGGGGTGCAGCAACACACTGTGCATCATGTGCTGCCATGGAGTGCTGATCTGTGTTCCATCAGCAGGCTTTGTGCTTTTTTCTATTGGATTTAACCCAAAATACAGCAACGCTATGGTCAGGCTTGCAAGAGAGGATAAAGAAGATATTATGGTCTGCGGGTTTAAGCACAGAACTGGAAGTCAGTTCAAGGTTCAGCCCTGTGTCCTGGTAATTCAAGGTGTTTTCTGGGCTCAGTCCATCACCTGGCTGTGTTCTCTTTCTGTCCTGTGTATCATGATCTTGGAGTGTGACAGGACTCATTTAATTTACAGGTGTTTGGAGAACCACCTGTAGCCCGAGAAGGAAGATGGTGCAGGACAATCACCTCTTGCATTTTGTGTGTGCACTAGCTGTGAGCTTGAATTTTGCTGTCAAAATGGACCCTTGAACTGGTTTTTGGTGCTGTCTCCAGGTCCCACCTACATAAAGAAATCAGAGTGTCAGTGAGAGAGAGAGAGAATCAGGGACCAGTTCCACTGCGTTACCCTGGGCACTGGGTGGTGTTATCTAAGCCAGGAGTGCTGGGATTTGCAAAGGCTGCTGCCAAGCATCTGAGAGGTGTAAAGGTGCTTCCAAGATCTTCTGACTTGTCTAAGGGTCTTAATTAAATGACTCATCAAGTGACACAGAGCTGCCTAGAAGAGCAGAGCCCTTTGTCCAACAGCACAGGGAGCAGGGTCCGTGCCTGTGGAGCTGCTCGGGGTGGAGTGATGCTGCAGCTGATGGCACCGAGGGCTGCAGGGGTGGCAGCGCTGCTCCCTGCCCAGCCTGGGCTTTTCTCCTCTCCCAGCCAGGGCAGCAGCCCTGCGGGTGCCTTTCCTGTTGGATGCCTTGCATTGTGTGCCGGGCCATTGCCCTGCTGCAGAAGGTGGTGGGAGGAGGGAAGGGACGCCAGGCCTGCAAATTAGCATCAAAGGCTTGGTGCGAGGTTTATGGGGACATTTACTAGTGTTGTTTTCATTATTTACACCAGTGTTGGTTCTAGGAGTTCTCATTAAAAGCGTAATAAATGTAAAAATATTTTACAGGCCAATAAAAGCTCCAAAGCAAAAATAGCTTTATATAGTGTGATTTTTTTTTCTTTTGCAAAATGCTGTGTGGTATCATCTCATATCTGCTGATTGCTGATGGGATGAGAGAAGCCCCTCCATTCTGATGCAGTGTAAGGGGAAAAGATGGGGATCAGGATTACTTTCCAGACAATTAATTTGTCAGGTAATGGGTAACTCTCAGTCACTGACTTTGATGAGAACACATTACGGCAAATATAAATATTTCAATTTTTTTTCCTGTGGAAAAGACAGAAGGCCAGATAATTCATATTATTGTTTAAAAAACATCACAAAATGTATCCAGAAAAGCACAGGAATGGGACTGACAAAGAGAAAATGTTTTCAAGTTCCTCTATAAAATATGTTTGCATAAACATGCTGTATGTAGTCAGATCTAGCCTATAGTTTCTGTAAGTATGTTAAACAAGGAGAGTGATTTTTTGCCAAATCCTCTGTTAGGTTTGAGATGTGCAGATCTCTGCAGAAGAACAGAACTAAAATGAGGGAACGCTTTGGAATGAACTCAGCTTGGAGATAATCCAAAAATCTTGTGGAATGGGTGGAAATGAAAAAAAGTTGAATTTAACCATTAAATCATCCAGCAACTTGGTATCTGTGACATTTATCTTGTCTTAAAAATAATAATGTTCCAAAGTCTTAATGACATCTAAACATCTTTGATCACAGAGCAGACAAATTGGTCCAAAAATGATAGATTTGTCTGTCTCACCCAGGTTATCCCAATAAATACTGAGTCAGCTTTGCAAAAGGAGTGGTTGTCAGAAGTGTGGAATGAACATAGATGTGCTTGACCTAAGAGAAGCTGGAGGTCAGCTGCAGCAGCCTGTGGACCTCCTTGCTAGAAAGTCGTTTTATGATTCTTGGGTTTTAGGCTCTGGCATCTACAAATGTTGTAAATATTTCTTTTTTTTTTTTTTTTTCAGATGGACTGTAAAAGTTGTTCTCATATTTTTGCATGAACAAAGATTTTTGCTCATGCAGGGTTTTGGTCCCAATTTTTTTTTTTTGCATGTCAGAAAACTAACCCTGTACTTGGAGAGAGGGAATAAAGAGGAAACTCATTTCTCCTAGAAGGAGCCTCTCCCTTTTTCCCTGCCCTCTGACTGAGCTGACCTGTGGCCAGCATTAGAAGGAAATTATCTCACAAGCACCAGAAACAAGTCAATCACCACAAAGACCAATAATGGCACGACCAGCTCAATGCCATTTTTGAAATCCAGTTCAAGAGCTGAGAGATGCCAGGCAAAAACACTGAAGTATGTGTATCCCATCTGGCAGCTTTGAGCAGAAAGCTCAGGAACACTGTGCAATTACGCCACAGATTAATTTGGACTTTCAATCTGAATATTCCACTGCTGGCTTTTTTTGTGTATGTCAGTGATCAGAATTTAGTTTCTCTGCAAGGCTACTTCAAGGGGAGGCACAAAGCAGCCAAAAGTCACACAACATTTTCTTACCAGGGAATAAATTTAGATCCTTGCCTTTTCTTTTTCTTACTAAAATGTTGGAAAGAAATGTGGGACTTGGAATGGGATTATTGCTGCGAGAAAACATGGCTGGTTTTACTGCCCTTGCTATTGTGCCCCAAGGTCACAATTAGGTCTGGAATCCCATTGTGCCACGCATTGTCCACAGAGGAAGGAACAATCCTCAACTCCAAGGTCTGCAGTATTGATTAACCTTTGTTTGTTTGTGCAATTACTAGTTTATTGTTATGCACAGTTATTTGCTTTAGAAGGGAAATGTTCTGAATTCAGAAATAATGAAGAATCAGTCATAGCACAAAGCCATGCACTGCATATAGGAAACATGGAAATATTTTTCTCATTTTCATGTGTGCCTGATTGAAGTTTCAGGTTTTCAGGTGATCTTGGGGACTTACACTCACAGCCCATGAAAGCCCATGTGATCAGGACACAGAATTCCTGGCAGTTCCTTGGGAACCTGCATTCTAAAATAACATGCACTAAGGCTGTGTGAGACAACAGCAGCCCTGGGACTAACAGCATCCCAAATCCAAAGCTGGTTCTCTTGCTGTAATATATATCTTGTTTCTGCAAAAAGTGGATATTCTGTGAATACAACTCTATAAACCACTGTCTTGCAAAATACACTTGATTTAAATTGATTATTTGGATAATCTGTATGGCTTTACATTGGCTGCTGACTAAAATACCATTTTCTTGTCTACACAGTGATCTTGTCTTTCCCATTGCACTGCTGTTATCTCTTTTGCTATCTCATAATTTGAAGGAAATTCAGAACTGGATATAATCACAACTCGTAATTTGAAATGCTAATCTTTGACCTGTCAGTCCAGCTGTATCACATACAGTCTGCTCTATTAAACTTTAATGTCTACCCTAATAACCATGTAAGGCTAGAAATCCAGGGATTAGCTTTGATTCCAGTTTAATTACTGATATGTGCCTGTAGTGCTGCAAAGGAATTTTTCTCTTCTGACGGGTGCTGAGCATCTTTGCTTTGGTTTGTTTATAAGCTGGTGAAAGTTGGTCTATCATAGCTTTTCTCCAAATAGGACTACTATAAATTTGATTTCATTTAGCTGAAGAATGGTGCACTCAGAGCATCAGTGACTATTTTTCACTTTGTGTGTACTGCAGCCTGCCTGCTGTAAATATTCCAGACACTGGGATGCCAGGAGAAGAGGTGAATTTTCTTTCATTCAGGATCATCTGGATTCTGAGTGGGTAGAAGACTGGGTATGAAGCAACTTGATTGTGAGAAGATGGGTAAAAACCTGGCCCTGTTGAAATTAAGGGTAACATTTCCACCGACTTCAGTAGAGCCAAGATTATTTACAATATTTTGGTTTGGGCTAATCACATTTTCATTGTCCAAATAGATGCTGTCAAGGGAGGTAATTACTGGATTTGCTTGTGTCTCTGAGCCATATGAGTGCTCTCTCCATGTTGTGTGGGTAGGAAGGTGTAAGATCAGAAGTCTGGGGGTGCTCACTTGTGTTGAAAGTGGGTGAAGTTCACAGGCATATGGCCTTCTGCACATTAGTGCTCCTGAGTTACATGCTGGAAATCAGAGTCATCTAGTTTGGAAATTATTAAGATCATTGAGTCCAAATATAAATCTAAATCTGCCAACTCCTACATGAAACCACGTCCTCATGCACCACTGCTACCAAAAGGATAATATAATTGTAAGTATAATTGTAAGTGCCTGAGGGCACAAGAAGACCTGTTTGGGTTGCAGACTGGAAACTCTCTTGGCAAAACACCTTATTTCTTTTTCATAGGGAGGTCTGGCCATTGCCCCAGAGGATGAGGTTGAGCACAGAGATCCCCATGGTGCAGGCCTGTGGTCACCCAGCCTGCGGTCACCCCAGGGTGTACTACTGCACTCCAGCCACCCAGGCAGCTCCTCCCAAACTGAAGGACAAGAGAAACCAGGGAAACTACTCCAGCAGGTACATCCAAGGATTTTGGTGAGCAGAAAAAGGCTATGGAGGCTCAGCAGATCCCTACTGTGGCCAGAGGTCTATCTGTGGAAGGAGCTGGCAGAGGCTGTGTTCCTGTATATGGTCTGTAAAACCTCTCCAGCTGGTTGGGAGTGCGGTTTTATGTGCATGTTTTAAAATTTGAAGCATAGCACTGAGTTGAATCAGGAAGTTTTCTTTTTTTTTTTTAAATTTGTTTGGGTTTTTTTAAAGAAATGTATTTTTTTAAGTGCAGCTTGCACTGGGAAAGGTCTCTTGGGATACAGTAGCATCTCTTCTAAAGCATACAAAGGCCAGAAAGCTAAACACCCTGACAGGGGCTACACTTGTTTGCCAAACCTCCTTGTTCATACACTTGCTCTGTGTGGCCTACTAGGAAACACAAGCATTCCCTGGTGGTGTTGTAGCTGTGAGCTGAAGATCCTCTGTATGAGACAGAGTTTCCCCAGCACAACAGACTTTCCTCAGAGTTGTTCAGAGGAAGATTTTAGTTTTGCATCAATTTGGAACAGAACTCATTACTGAAGCTTGGGTTTTGGCTTTTCTTTTTTTTTTTTTTTTTTCCCAGATGGACTTCTTGTTGTTCAGCCAGTCCTTGTTCTCTCAAGCTTGTGACAACCCCCAGGCAGCTCTGGGACTTCATTTTCATGCAGGATCTACCTTTAGCATCCGAGTGCTCTTCTCTGAGTGAACACCTTGTCCCTTGTATTCCAAGACAGATAGTGAGTTCAGAGAGGATTTTTTGGGATACCTCACCAATTTGTTCCAATCCCTAAACTGTAAGGTCACCTTTGGCTGTGAAAAATGCTCACCCCTCTGAATCTAAGCTTATTGGGTTCCTAAGTATTTTATAAGGATTCACTGTAAATTTTTTTAGGGACTATTTTGAATGAGTACCTGAGTTGCTGGTATGGATAGGTGGAAAATGATAATGACTCCTGCGTGTGTTTTATAGCTACTTTTGTGCATATTTTCAACAACTACAATGGTTACGCCCATAAACTGAAAAGAAAAAATCTCTTTCCCGTCTGCTGGCTTTTCTTGTGCCTCGTGTATATTCTTGTTTATTCTGCTGGACTTCCAAGATGGAAGTTTGTACAAACATTTTAGAGTTTTGAAAAACAACAACCAGAGGCAAAAGAAGAAAAAAAGAAAACAAGGAGCAGGGTGATCAGCTCTCAAGGGGGTCTGTGCATCCTTTGCTTTATCATCTGGAGCTTCAAGCTGGCATTAATTTTTATAAAGTTTGGGACATGAAGAACCTCCTGTTTTCTGCTCTGTAAATGAGAGTGACATGCTATTTCTTTCATGTATATTCTTTGGAATTCATCCCCTGGCTGTATAGCTTCATACTTCCTGAAGATTATGTACATATGAAGGAAATAATCACAGCAGAAGCCACCCAAATACCTGTGGGTGATCAGATAACCCAACTCGCTCTACAGCTTTTGAAAATCCTGAGTCAGGTGTTTGCTATCCAAAGAAGTTTCCTGAAAAAATAATTTCTGGGGTTTGTGTGCACAAAATTGTTTTATCTTCTCTTCTAGTTTTTGCTGCGGAGAGGTGAGGGATCTGCAGACACACAAGGAGGAGAAGATGAGGGAAATGGGTGAGTGAAAAGGTTCCTTCAGCTGGCGCCAGTGGTCAGGAGCCTTCTCATAAAGAGATTAATTCTTTATGTAAAGGAAAAGCAAGTGCATCTTGTTCATCTGGTTTGCCCCTTGTGGCTGTTGTAGCAGTATTTTCAATGTTCATCATGTGTACAGTTAATGCTATTTTGTATAATTCATTGATTTCCATACAATCTCTGTTGGCCATACTTCCTATGCAGGGAGCCAAGCATGCCAACTGCTTTCTGATATAAACTCTAAGTTGAAAATATAAAGAGTGTCTGATTTCCACATTGGTTCTCCCCAGCTGCAAATAGAGGTTGGCATTAGCCAAGGATGCTGGCTTGGTTACAGTCCAGAGAAGCTCACGCGGGTTTTAAGGGACACTTCCCAACTTCCATGGGCTTCATGCAGAGGAAAGGATAGCTCAGTCTGCCTGCAGCACTGTGGATGCCAGGATGTGTCCCTGCTGGACACAGAGGAGCAGCCACCATCTGTGTGCTGGTGACCAAGGCCATGGCTGGTGCTGAGGGCACCAACAGACCCAGGCTGCCGCGGTGGTGCAAACAAAATATCTGTGTGGAGGCGAGCCACGTCCGACGGGTTGCAGCTGTCCCTCTGCCTGCTGGCCACCCCCGCCCCACACCAAATGTAAATCATCACCCTTTTCCCTTTTAACATAACAGTTGTGTCATTTAAAAGCTCAAAGAGCTGAGAAAAAAGTCTACTTGTTTAGATAAACCATTAAAACAAATTATGAGCATTTAATAAATGGGCAAAACTGTCTGTTTGTCATAACACAGAATTTTTCCTTTAAATAGCCAAACAACCACCCAAAATGTTCCTCATAGATGGGTGTGTTGGGGGATATTTCCAGTGTCAATCTCACTGGGGTTCTTTCTGGGAGTCTTTGGCCCAAATTCCTGCACAGATGGGTGGAGGGCTCAGGATAGGGTAAAAAGCTGTGCTGAACTCCTTTTGGGACTGGTGATGGAGCAGGAAAGCTTTCCTGGACTTGTGGTACCCAGACAGGCTGGCACACATTGCCTCCACCCTGGCAGTGCAGGGATGGGAGCACAGTGCCCAGGTACCACACTGTGCTCAGCTCCATGAGCTGCCCTTGGCTGTTCCTTGGGAGGAGGGTCTGTCTCACATGAAAATGGAAGTTTTCCTAAAGCTTAGATGCATCTCTTGAATAAACAGTAGCTTGGCCACTGCCTTTGGAGAGCAGTTCAGTGTTCTTCTCACTTCTCATGTGATACGCCTTTTTTTCAAAACATTTCCTGATCCTGAGCTCCTTCCTCAGGTTGTGGGAACATTCAGGTTTGGATCTGCAGTGTGTGGGCTGGCCTCTCTCCAGTTGTTTAACAGATGATTGCTTTGGATAGGATTATCTTGGACAGGCAAAGAATCATCTCTGCAGTGCTGGGGCCGCCTTCGCCCTGGGAGTGGGGAGTGACCAGAGTGAGCTGTGATGCTCCTGCTCCTGCTGGCAAGAGCCTCCTCCTGACAGGGTATCCAGGCTCTGGACATGTGATCCCATCTTTAACAGCTTTTACATCCTTGGTCCATAAGATTGACTGATTAGTCTTAAGAGATTGATTACTGGTTAAACCACCTTGTAATGGTCCTCTTTACCTTTAGAGCCTTCCAAATTCTGGGAGAAAACCTGCTGTGTGTTTTGCTGTTTGGTGAGTCAGGAGCCTGAGGATAATTAATTGCTCAGCCATTAAGTGCCCAACATCTCTGTGTATCACAGGAACGCAGCTTCACTTGTGTGAAACGTGACTGCTGGCTCCCATCAGCTGCAGCCATGGACAGCCACGGGTGTCTGCAGTCTGCAGTGGTGTTGTGGAGCAGCTCCTGGGGGCTGCAGACACTGTCTGAGCCAATCCCTACAAAGTAGGAGCTGCAGCATGGCAGGCTGCTCAGGGAAGGCAAAACCAGATGGGCCTTGACAAGCACAAAGCTGCTGCACCCCTGACACTGTTCATCCTCTTCTGATGGGGCCAAGGGGTGACTTGCTGAGCACTTGGGGCACTCCTGTCATGCACCCTATGTGGTGACTGGCCAGCTCACTGGAGGTATCTCAGCTTGTGGCTGGCACCCCTACAGGATGTTTCCATATTTCTCTGGAAGTGCTTGGAGCTGGCGGTTTTTACAAGATAGTTGGCCCAATGAGGGAAGCAAATTCATTCTGCTGTCATGATGGAATTGGGCAAAAGTGGAGAGTAAAGAAAAAGAAAAAACTTTTTTGAGTCAGTCCCTATATTGTCTGTGAGCTCCAACAACATAGCAGGGTGGAAGTCTGGTGATGTTTGTTGGAAGAGGGTGTGGGAGGTTTTGCTGAATATTTGTAGGTACGTGAATTTGGAGATGGTGATTTTCAAGGGTTCAATTTAATTTTAATTTCTCTGTGGGGTTCATGAGGAACAAGTCCTCTGAAAATGAAGGTGTGAAAACAGCATTTAGCAGTCAGGGTGCTTCCGTAAGGGCCAATGGCAACGTCACCACTGGGAGCTGGCGCTGGTTAAGTGAATCAGTCACGTATGAAAAAGGCCAAATAAATTTGGTTTGTGATAAAGAAGATGGCAAAAGATATGTCCTGAACAGAATTTTGGAGATGACAAAGGAGGAAGCAAAGGAAAGAATGGAAGAAATGTTGCAAGGGCTAAACACAAAGGTTTCAAAACAGGCTCAGTGTGTGGGTAAGAGTGAGATAGTTATCACAGCTAACTGCTCAATTACAAGTTTTATGGACAGATCAAGATGCTCCTCCGCTCCTCTCTTCAGACACTGCCAACAGACCAAATATCTGGTCACAAAATGTGGAATAAAAACCCTTTTCCACTGTAGGTTCTAGCCTAGCCTTCCCTGTCCAGCCAGTTTGAACCTGGCATTTGGAATTAAGCAAAGTGTGGAGACAGATAAAGTCTGAAGGAGTTTACCGAAAAAAAAACGACAGTTGAGAGATGGTGACTTGAGGGCACGATGCCCTTCTGGTACACCCTGTCCCTAGTGCATTAACTCCCTTAATGAGAGAGACACTGTGTCAGACTGTCCAGCTCAAGTTGATAACAAACATTTTATTTCCTCCCTATCACCAAGAAAAAGAAGAAAATACTTTATTCAGTCTTCTCAGTACTTTAATCTCAGAGTCCTCCTCAATCTGATGTATGGAGATTTTTCTTTGTGAATTGGGAGCAAATTCTCCAGCTTCTCTCCCACAGGTTCTAATCCCTTCTTTTGTTTCACCATGTGGTTGTGTAAGCAGTTCCCTTGAGAACAGGGCTCCAAGAATATATAATTAAAGCAGAAGTTTGGCACTAATAAGTGATCTTATCACTTTGTTGGGCTTTTTTCAGGTCTTTGTGTGATATTCTAGGCCACTCATTTGAAGTTATTTAATTACAAGGTCCTCAGATTAGAGCCAGGGCCTTGAATGGTGTTTTTTTTAATCTGGTTTTAAATTTTTTTATTGTACCATGTGTTATGATGCTTTGTGCACCAGGTGACCTAGGTGGGGCTGACAACCCTTCAGGACTGTCACTGACAAAGCTGACTCCACGGATTGTTTCTGCTATGAGTAATTCCCGTGACGGAACTCCTCTTCAAGCCCCAACAAAGTGGTTGAACCCTAGAACATATGTTGCCATCAAGCCAAGGGTTGGAGCCCACTGGGGACTGTACCCTGCCTGGGGCAAGAATACAGCAGGAAGAAAGTCAAGTCCTGCTAAAAGTCCCATTGCCAGTGAGTTTTGCTGCGTTCTGTGCTGCTCAGAGCACTGAGATTTCTTTTGCTGTCCATGGGCGGTGGAGGTGCAGCTGCTGTGACCTCCGTGGGGCAGGACTGTTGCCCAACACAGAATTTTCCATGGGCTGAACCTCTCCATTGTTCAGCTCTGGGGGTGATGAGGTATCAGGGTGCAGCCCTCACCCTTGAGAAGCCTCAGGGCCTGAGCTGACTAGGTGTGAAGTTGTTTGAATACTTCAAGATGAAGATAAGATATGGAGATTTAAAAAAGCTCTATTAGAAACCTGCCATCTATTGAAGTGCATTCTAGGTAATGGGTATGTGTGTTCAGGATGGAGTTAAAATTGGTAGAAAAACAGGGTTGTAAAAGTCCCTCCTCTAGGCTGTCTTCAAATCACTCAAGCTCCTCTCTTCATTTTTCAGTACACAAATAATTTTGACGACTAACCTGCATCTCCTCCCGCAAAAATGCGCAATAAGGCTGAGAACAACGAGTGCAATAACACAAAGGCTCTGGTGTGGTGGTGTAATTGCATGATGGAATGGCAGCATGTGCAACATAGGCCTTTCAAAATGCCAAAGCATGTTTTTGTTTGTGATTTTTTTTTTTTCTCCCCATAAGAATGTTCTTTTAATTCTCATCTCCATTCTTACTGCTGGTCCACTGAGGAGGTGAGGGCTGGGCTGCCAGGAGCAGGGTGACAGGTGGGATGGTTGGCTTTCAGCCTCAGGGAAGATTGGAAGGAGCCATCAGTCAGCTGGAAGCAGGAGCACAGGCTTCAGCCATGGGCCCCTGCTGGATAGCATTTTCCTAAATGCAGTCAAGCTGTACTTCTCCCTTTTGTTACACTTTTGTCCCATTAAATGTTAGACAACACTCCACATATCTGAAGTTCCAAGCTTTCAAACATTACACAATCTGTGATGGAAATGGGCTTTTAAAAGTATCTGTTAGCCTGAAAAAGCTTCAATCTCAGCAAAAACTGTCCCTGGGAAGCCCTTCCCCCTCTTCAAACAGCAAAACTGAGCTTCAGCAGTAGCAGCTCTATCTCTTGGCATGGCAGTGGAAACCCCTCTGCTTGCCATTGGCCGTGTGGCTTGGGGTAGAAACCTCTCTGCTAGTTTAATTCATCAGTGAGAACATGCTGATTGATGTCCTACAACTGGCCTGGCACAGTTTGCTGCACACCTGAGCCTGGAGCTGATCCAGGAGCTCCATCCC